TTTTTGAATACATTAACTTGAAATATTTGATCCTAAAAAACACGCGGAAACAATTTTTTCGACTGCGAATAAATTATTCTCATTTTACTAAAAAAAAATTCAAGAAAATTTTTAAAACTTCTTTAATCTTAAGGCCCATTAGTATTTTTCAAAGTAGAAACAATACATTTATAAATAAAGTTGTTTGCGTTTAACTTTTTTGCCTTGGGTAACGAGTTACAGAGTCGGTTAAAGTGTTTCAATAATTGTGATCTTCAAACATCCTCCACACTTAAATACTTTTGTTTTGTTTTCTTTCACTGCCATCTGACATATGTCTCTAACTAAATTATAAAAATAATATTTTTACTATAATTAACCCAATTTAGGATAAAACGCGACTTAGACGCCATATTAGTTTTGTATTTCTGTGAATTAGGATTTTAAACAACGTTGCAGTTTGTACTAAATTAGGCTTCTAGTCAACGTCGGTATCCAACGTCGTTTCGACCCAAAAATTATTCTCCAAACTAGTGCAGACCAGGGTTGGCACGAGGTTGTGCCGACGTTGCGCCCCGACGTTTAAACGCGTGACACAACGTTGTCCCGACGTCCAAATGCTGCTTGGGTATACTTATAAAAAATATTTTTTTTCTATTTTTTTTTCAATATTTATCATAATTTCAAAAAATATGAGACACCTTTTATATATTTTTTAGTAATTTCAAATTGCGTTAGTCGATAAGCATTTAAATGCATCTTTTATTTTAAAAAATATACCTACATCAAATTCTATTCATATACTCAAAAATTTATTATTATGCAGTAACAGTTTGTGTTTTGATTATAAATTTAAACACTCCTCGAAGACAGTGGAGGATTAAAACTTTGCGTTTTGGAATAATTCCAGGGGATATCCAGTGTTTAACGAAACAATTAACCTCTTATGGAAATGTATTTTGAGATTACACAATATAAGTCGTTAAAGCTTAACTTATCCTTGATAGTAGTTTTAAAATCAATGATCAAATACTTAAAGTTATTAATTTTCATTTTATCAGTAATTGTAAGCTTAATATACTGGGTGGTCCGAACTGTATTCCGGAAACTTTGGCAGCATATTCTGCAGATAAAAATAAGTAAAAAAGTTTGTATAAATATATGTCTTAAAATGCTTAGTTTCCGAGATACAGGGTGTAGAAGTTTAATTTTTATTTCGATTTTTTTCAAATAATTTCTGAAGTAACGTTAATATTTGGATGAAAATTGGTATCTGGGAGTTTTTTGACATGAAAAATTTGATTTTGATGTCAATATGACTCCTATTTGTAGGGGGCGCCACCTACATATATTTTAACTGTTTTGAAGAGTAATAACTTTTCGTCCGTACCTGTATAAAACTACAGAGTGAAAAAATATACATTTCCGTGACTTTTTACGTAAAAAATGTCTCTTGGTAAAAAATCGCTACGAGCAACCATTTTCAAAATATTTAAAATGGAAATAGTCAACACGTCATATAAAAGAGTTTTATATGAAGAACAAGAACCCGAGACCTCCTCGAGCAGAAATGAAAATAAAATTTAAAAGACTACTAGAAATAAAGTTTGTCCATCAATTACCTTAGTAAATTGTTTAAACTTCGCGACATTAAAATTAAAATAAGCTCGAAAATGGTTATTAAAAAAAATCAAAATTATATTTGTTTATAGTGTCATTGTTATTGGTAATATTATTCTGTGAATTACTGTAAAAGCTTTTTAATAAACATTTAAATAAGAATTTCAATTCGATCGTAGAAAAAATGCTGTGTGCATGTGTTACAATCATGCAAAACTCATGCGTCGTGCAACAAATATGTCCTTTTTGTACTAGTTACACAAAATAGCTATAGGGAAATTAAAATAACTTTGGTTGTACATCATAATACTACCACCAGCAAACTCCATAAGACGACGCATGGCGTCATTGATGACGTGCAACGACAGTTGTTTTAATTTCCTTTTATTTATGTAACAAGTTGCGAAATGAATGTGTTTTAAGCACGGGACGCAAAATTGTCCAAGAGGCTAAAGCCGAGTTCGACAATGCTTCGAGTGCTTAAAACACTCTTTTTGCAACGAATTCCATACAAGGTTTTTTGTGAAAGCGGATAATTTGAGATTTTCATGCTATTATTATTATTATTTATTTTTAAACATTTTTTAAAATGTTCTGGTAATCGGTTTCTAAGGCATTGTTTAGGTATTGTTTAATGGCAAAGTTCTGTCAGGTTCAAACGTCCCATATTTCCTACAAAGCATAGACAAACAAATAAAAAGAGACTGGCAAATTAAATGGCAAAGAGACGGACAACGTTCCCGTAGCGCAACTCAGAACGCAAAATTTCCTTCTATTTATGTTGATCTGCGCATTGCGTCTATTGGGTCCACTATCTCATTCATTCTAATAACTTTCTCTCTAACAAGAGAGAAAGAAGCAGCCATATAAAACGTAATTTCTAAATAGAAATTAGAACAATCGCTTTTCGTTTTCATCATCATTACAACCAAGATGACAACATCATGACAATTCTTCACGTTTGTTAATTTTTCTTTTAGTGATTTACCTTTTTTTCTAAACTCTCCATTTTATTGACTTATGAATATGGATAGGGAACAAATTCCTTTGTTCCATATAGGTATTTATATTTTGTTACTTATAATTTTAGGTTATACTATTTGTTATTTTATTTGCTGCAGGAGCCAGTATCATCTATTTTCTATATGTATTGGTGCCCCCTTTCTCTGATAGATATGTTAAAGACACCCGGTAAAATAAAAGTAAGTAGTTATATTTATCATCTTATTAAGAAAAAAGTAGAAGTAGTAGTGTACAAATTAATACAATTAATTTTTTTCATTTTTTGGGTAGGTAGTTTATAGCTGGTTTATAGTAACCAGAAACTTTATTAATATACCTATTTTACTTTTGTTTTAGGATTAAAACTGGACTTGAAAATGGTTCAGGATCATGATTCTCGTAAAGTCTTCTTTGCTTAGATATTCACTTTGTTATTGCAATTAGGCAGTTTTTTCGAAAATGAGATTTTTAATGCCCTTTAAAAAAATTGGCCAATCGTTTCCTGCAACAGTCAGTTCTTCTGCAGTTAAAATTGGTAGGTGGGTGGAATAAACACTGTTATTTTTTGTTATTATATTATAAAAAGTTTATTTATTTTTATGTATAAATAAATATGGTTATAAAACAGTACAATTTTTGCTTTTTTTATAATTTCCCTTTTAATAGTAGTATTCTTTCGTTCTGAAAGAAACTGCAAATTTTCACTTAAACTGATTTATTCCCTACACCACGTTCCCTTTACGTGGTATAGGGAATAAATCAGTTTAAGTGAAAATTTTCAGTTTCAGAATGAAAGAATACTACTAATAATGGCTAATTTAAATTTTCCGTCAGCCAGAATGTGCGTTAATGTCTTACGATACGTTTTATACCTACCTCTTTCTTTTTCATATAAAGCACACATAATAAAGAAAGATAGCAATAAAGACGTACGTCCTGCCATGGTCCTGCTAATTGGTTTCAAAATTGTTATTCTGAGTTGCGCTACGGGAACGCGGTCCCACTCTTTACCATGGGATTTGTCAGTCTCTTTTTATTTGTTTGTCTATGCTACAAAGTTTTGTGAAAAAATGAGTGATAATGACGAGTCTTTCGATATTCAACAAGCTGCTGAAACTGGGCTATCGACGTTAGTGCCTGAGAAGTCGAAAAACTTATACGAAGCCACCTACAACTTTGAAACCTGACTCAAAAAAAAACATGTTGAAAATTTCACAGAAAAGGTATTGCTAGCCTATTTCCTGAAGTTATCCACTACCTTAAATCCGTCAACTCTGTGGAGTAAATATTCGATGCTCCGCACCATGATTTACCTGAACAGAAACGTAGATATTAGCAAATTCACAAACCTTATTGCATTTTTAAAAAGAAAAGCTTCCGAATATCAGGCAAAGAAATCAAAAGTATTTACAAAACTGGAAATAGAACGCTTTATGAAAGAAGCCGATGACAAAGAAATACTGTTAGCTAAGGTTTTCTTAATCGTTATAGTATTGGAGTATGTAGGAGGGAAGAAATCACGTTTTTAAACGTAGATGCCATTAAAGATCGTCAGTCATTTATTAGTGTGAAGATTCCGAATAAAAAACTCATTTTCCAAGAATGTTTACGATTACTGAGGGACCAATAGATGGTATCAATTTCTTACATGTGTTTCGTAAGTACGCAAAACTTCGACCACTCAATGTGACACATCAGCGATTTTTCTTGACGTATCGAAAAAATCAATGCTGTACCCTGTCAGTTGGAATCAATATAATTATTGGGGGTATGCCAAAAAAGATAGCAGAATTTCTTGGACTCTCCAACGCCATTGAATACACTGGTCATTGTTTCCGACGCAGCTCTGCAACAATGCTGGCAGATTCAGGAGCGGAAATAACAGTTTTAAAGCTACATGGAGGTTGGCGATCAAGCTCGGTTGCTAAAGGTTACATTTAAAATTCAATTGAACAGAAAACCGAAATAACAAAAGGAATCATAGGACAGAAAAATACGTCAAATAAGAAATTAAAAGCAGTTCACGTAGTAGCAGAAGCTACCAGCATTGACAGTACAAGAAATTTACCATATGCATTTCTCTTAGAGACGAAAAGTTGGGTGCCTCTTGTATTCACTTTAATAATTTAAATCTTTAAGATTTAAAATAAATAAATATTTTTATTGTTTCTAACGTTTCATTTTTTACTTTTAGGCACTAGTGCCTGCACAAGTTTCACTTCTAGCTACTAGTGCCTAAAAGAATGTCATTTCGAATCTCAAATAAATATCAAAAACTGTCAATTTCGAAAGGCTTTCGCAAAAAATTATTATTTTAACTGACAGTATCTTTAGAACTCCTGTGTCTATTGCATCGTAAGTAGGTAGTTTCACATCTTTCACCTAACCTAAACGCTTACCTGCACCCTGGACTCCGTCAGCCCTATCCTCATGGCGATCTCCTCCCGCATGAAAATGTCCGGATAGTGCGTCTTGGAGAAGCAGCGCTCGAGCTCGTTGAGCTGCGCGGGCGTGAACCGCGTCCGGTGCCGTTTCTGCTTGGAGGGCTTGTCGCCGTCGCCCGAGCTGCCGTTGCTGAGGGGTCCGCCGCCTCCGCCGCCGCCTAGGCTGCCGTCGCAGAGGCCGGCTAGGCGCACGGGCTGGTCGAGCGACTTGAGGTCGGGCGGCTGGTGGTGCTGGTGGCGTTTCAGGTCCTCGCCGCACATGTCTTTCAGACCTGGAGGAAAAAAATAGGTGATGTTATATCAGAGACGCAACGGGGGGTAGTTACCCTCCCCTCCAGGAAGAAATTTATAAATAACATAACATATAATTAAAATAATGTTTTACGTTAAATTAGTTATAGATGATATAACAAAGGATAGAAGTGCAGCTGTTACAAGAGTATACGCCCGTCATAGAAATCTACAACCAATTTGGATAAAAGAACGTGCATTTGCAGATGACTTGGCAATTTCAGCTAACAGCGAAAAAGAACTGAAAAGACATTTAGAAATCTGGCTGGCAGCTCTTGGAGAGAGAAACCTAAAAATCAAATTAAAAAAGAAGATTAAAACAAAAGTTATGATTTTACGTAAAACAGAAATCATTATGAATATAGAGATAAATGACATCAATTTGGAACAAGTCGATTCATACAAATATTTGGGAGTGAACATCCGCAACTCAGGAGAACAAGAGACGGAAATCATCAAGAAATAATAATAATAATAATAATAAAAAAGGTTTATTGTTCCAAATCACATACAAAATACATAATATATAAATTATTTTAACAATTGGAACAAAAGGCACAGTCAGCTTCCTTCAAAGTCGAAGGTGCTGTTGAGGCCACGAAAAAAAAAATATACAACAATATTACCAAACAAAAGGCAATAATAATATAATTTTGCACAAATCAATATCATACAAAACTAAAAAAAAAGACCGTACAAAAAGTATTATTACGACACAAAAAAGCATCAATCTTTAATAAACTTAGAACTTTCTACTTAAAATAGCACAAGAGGATTAAAAAAAAAATTAAAAATTATATCAATTCATTCCGGGAGCAGTTGATTCTTAATTTTTCTTTTGAAAGACAGGACAGACCTCGAAAAATCATCAAAAGAATTGGCAACACGTCCCGCTTGTATCAAGCTATTAAGAACAGTTTCTTAAATAAAAAAGAAATTTCAAGAGCAGTGACGATGAGTGTATAGAAGACAGTATTCATACCGACGTTGATTTTTGGCTGTGAAAGTTGGGTATTAACTATAAGATTGAAGAGTAAGATCCAAAGAATGGAGATGTTATATCTACGAAGAGTACTTGGGGTAACAAGGAAAGATAGACTAAGAAACAGCTTTATAAGAGAGGAACTAAAAGTAGATTCGAACCTGAATAAAATTGAGCAATATCAGCTTAGGTGGTATAGACATTTGATTAGAATGAACAACGACATACCAGTAAAAGGCATGTGGGAAGCTAAAATGCAGAGAAAGAGACCAAGGAGAAGACCAACTAAAACATGGAATGACAAAATAGAGAAGATAGTGCAGGATAGAGGACTAACATTAACAGAAGCCAAAAGTTTAGCAAGAGACAAAAATAAATTGAAACAATTTGTATATACCTAGTGTAGCAATTAAGTGAATTCATTTAATTTATTATACCTTACACCTTCGGGCAGAAAGGTTTTTGATTATATATATGATATTATATGATACTTACTGGCACGAAAAACAGGCACCTTAAAATTTTCATGTATTTTAAAGTTTAATGCATCTATTTGTTCTAATGGACAGATTTTGATGATATTTTAAATAATATGTATCTAAATTATTTGACTTTTTAGTATCTCTTAGGTAATACATCCTTTCTCGATAGTCTGGTTCTTGATTTATTTCATTAGCTTTATTTTTGTTGGAGATATTCGCGTTTGAAGAAAACACTAACATTTTTTTCGCCATTTTTACATTAATACCATGCCTTTGCTTTTAGTTCTAGCCAACAGATCTAGTAAATTGTGGTCCCGAAGCAGGCCTTTTTGACATAATGTTTACTTATTGTATTAATTAATCTTCTTCTTAAAGTCCGTTCACTTACATGTACGTTCCTTAGGTGCAATTCATTATACATTTGAAAAACTGGCAAACAGCTGTTTCTTAGCGATAAACTTACAATAAGTTGATCATCTGTATTCGAAGTTTCCCTACGAAGATTTCTGGACGTTTAGAATATAAAGTTGTCTTGAAAAAGCAATTGCAGCGTACTTCGTGCACACCTAAATCTGTTTGCGATATAATTTTGATCCCTATCATCTTCAATTAAAGCAACTATAGATTATAATACATATAATGATATTCATATTCCTTGCTTTTTTAATATATTTTACAGGGGGTTCCAAACTTTCAACAAAATAACAATATTTTGTGTTCCCTCGTATAATTGACAGATGGAAAGTCAAATAATTTGTCTACAAATTGCTTAAAAGGTCATCAAAATCGGTCCACTAGAACGCAATGTATAACACTTTAAAAAACATCAAAATTTTAAGATGCCCGTTTTTCGAACCGGTGAGTATATTAATAATACTAATCAAAATAGAAAATCCAGGCCAATCCCACTTTATATTTTTCCACAGTCAATGCCTTTCAGTGAAAATTTAATTTGATACAAATACATTACTTAAATATTGTCACTACACCTCCCAGACTTAATCTCTAGATGCGCCACTGTGTTGTATGAGGTACCAAATGGGTTTCTACCTAGTAGGGCCCTGAAGCAATGGGTGGGATATTTCTAAATTTTGTTACAATGATAGTAATTTCGTTTAAGAGTAAATCATGTTAACTAGAACGGATTTCAGAAAAATGTGTTCACATGTACTGGATTTCCAAAATAAACGCAAATGGGTGAAGTATGGACCTCTTCTCTATTAATTTTCTTTTAGATGCGAAATTAAAATAAACATTTTTTCTCTCCAATAAATCCTATATGGGTATTTCGCCACTGCAAGAAAATCTACAAAATAAAATAGTTATTTTTGTAAACGCTGCTGCGTTAATCCAAACGGAAACTATTTGACAGCAGTTAGGTTTACAGATATACAAATTTGCCTAACGAACAAAAAATGGTTTGAGAAAGTTTATCTCTTTCCGTCGTCGAGAGCAAAAAAAATTACAAAGAATAAACAAAAAAACAACAGATACGTCTGTTGACCGTTGACGTTCTGTTAAAATGATATTATATCAAGTTAAACTTCAAAATTAACAATTACTACCTGATAACAATTACTTAATAAAGTAAAACCAAAAAACCCCAAACTTTCTGTATGATTATTTTTAATTTTTACGTATGTTATGTTTATTTATGTTATGTACTTTAAAATCAAAGAAGCGATTGCCATACATTACTAACATCTATAGATGCATAAATAATACATTTATTTTTATTAGATTTTATTAAAAAATCCTCTTTTATTTTTTTAGAGGCTATCGATTCTTTCATTATAATTTTGGCGTTATTAAAAGTTTTTCTGTGCCCTGTGTCCCATGAATGCTGACAAATCTTAGATTTGTGAAAATCTCCCTTTCTTAAATAATCTTTATGTTCTTTAATTCGAACATTTAAGGGTCTAGATGTTTCACCAATGTAAAATTTATCGCATTCACATGGTATATTATTTGATTTTAAAGTACATAACATAAATAAACATAACATACCTAAAAATTAAAAATAATCATACAGAAAGTTGGAAAATTCTATCGTTGTATTGATTTTAAGGCATAAATTTTAGTATTATTTATTATTAAAAAACCATCACAGGTACTGATGACTATACTACAGATGGGGGATCCAGAAAAAGGAATGCTGAATATTTTACTGAGGTTTTTAACAAAAGTAAAAGAACTCAGTTAAGGGCAAAAAAGAAGAAGATAAACGGACAAAATATTACATAGCTTAACAAACTTAACAAGTGAAATTAAGGAATTAAGAAAAAACAGAAAGAGTATAGGAAGGAAATAAGAGATCTTAAATGTGAAAACGAAAAAAAAAGAAGAAAACGAGTTTAAACTTAAGTCAAGGGAAATAGAAGAAAGAGTAGACAAATTAGAAAAGGAAAATATGAGAAGAAATGAAAAAAATGTCACGGAATGAGTATACAACTAAATGACATATGCTTATGTATTATACACCTTACTTTTTTTTAGAAACTTTTTTTTAGAAAACTTCTCCTAAGCTAAGGTTCTGCTAAGCCGTAACATTGAACAACAAACACTTTTTAAAAGTTATTCAAAGAAAATTAAGTTAATTTAAAGTAAATGGTATTTATATGAAGAGGAATTTTTTACCAATCCCTGTACATTTAGGTAGTGAGATAAAATTTGGTAACGAGGTGTAGTTTTTCAATACATAGAACTTTTATTAATAACTTTTCATCGTATTTTTACATATACAAGTACTTTGTTATTAGAGTTTTCCATTTTTTTCAAACTTTTTAACACTCGGTATATACATTAGTAAAAATAATATGCCTGTTGGTCGTTTAAGCTCAAGCAGCAGTTTTTATGCAGAATAACTTTTTTTCATAAACCCACGAATAAAAAAGTTTTCCCTCTTTGGGAGTCAATCCGTTGACACACTGTATACAAGACACTAGTTTAATGCATATTAATCTATGGATGTTAAACATGGCGACTCATTAAAAGGAATAAAAGGAAATTAGAGACAACAGAAATGGACGCGATTAGAAGAGCAATGAGAATTTCACAAAAGGATAAAATCAGAAATGAAGACATTAGACGACAGATGGGAATAGAATGAACAATAAAATTACTATATTTTCATTTACAGAGAAGATAACACAAACCAGTCAATAACGATTATTGTTAAGATAAATACGATTTTTAAGTCCGTGTTTTGTTCCAGTTATTATATTTCTAGAGAGTTCATAGACATTATTAGGTGAGTTGTTTATTATTTAAACATAACTTTTAAATATAAAACATTTTCTTCAAATCACCGTTGTAATAAATCTCCCATACTGCCTGAGTTATATCATTTTCATCACACATCATATTAGTTTCTATATCACAATTCACGACTACTATATTTTCACGCTTTTTGACAGCATATCGGTACTACAGAATCATACAGTCACAACCCCAATTGATATCAAAATAATATCACCGACTACGGAATAATTTTATCACTTTCTTTTTTTCTTCGAATTTATCGGTACTACCAAAAATAGTCCAATGTTCAGGACTGTCCCGCCATGCCGCTAGCCGACCCCCCCGCAACTGCCCTTCCAACTCACCACCACCATCGTGGTGCCCTTAATGAGGGCGAGGCACTGCCAATTTAGCCCATTTAGTCGGCCTATCGTTTAGTGTAGGTCCCCCCCGACCCCCAGAGGCCTTCGCAGCGTCAATTAACCACCGCATCACCACCCCTTCCCCCCCTTTCACACTTACCCACGGATCCCAGGCTGTTCAGCATGGTTTGTGACCGTCTACGGCCTAAACTACGCACACTTTTCCGTCGCACACAAAAGCATCAGCGTCCTCTGTATGTTAAAACCGAGACCACGGCGACGCACTGCACTGTTTATTTAATGAGTACTGATTTGATACTGAATTCGTAGTGTGCCGCCGACGAGCCTGCCGTGGCTTCGATCGCTTCGCGACCAATGAACGAGCGAAGAAGGCGGAGCCAGCCCGACCCCGCCCGTTATACCGTCGTTGTGGTGGGGGATCGCTTTGTGAAAGCCGGCGGTGAAGGGGGCGTGGCTAGTTTAAGGGAGTTGAAGGAGGGGAACCGTGGCATAGGCGGCGGACAAGTTGGAAATCCATCAAAGGCGATGGGAGAGAGATGTTGGAAGGGAAGTTGTTTGTTTTTTGGCTGGCGCCGGGAGTCGTCGGTGCTTTGTCGCTGTGCTGGGGGGAATCGGGGTGAAGAGAGATGGGGAAAGTGTACTGTATATACACATACGCACCTGATAAATAGCGGAGACATTTGATGTTGCTTCGGGATAGAATTGCAAGGTTGCTTGATTTATTGTTAGGTATCGAATGTGTTTTTTTACTTATGTTTTTAAATAGATGAAAATAATCAAATATTATCTTTCGTTTCTTGATGTCTATCTTATTGTGTATAGAATCCAACAAGCTCCTCGGCTATTACACTCAGAAAAAAAATGCATTGTAAAATGCACAATAAATCACATTAAAATAATGAACTTGTTCTATGGAATTCGATTTACCTATTTATTTGTTTCGTAAAGATTGCTGATAATATAATATTGTTTACTATACATAATAAAAATTAAATCATTCGAAATAAAGTGAATACTATTTTATCGAATATCTAATATTTAGTCCTTTAAAAGTAATTATAACCCTATATGTTTTAAAAGAACCACGTTCAAAATAAACTGGCATTGCCGTATTATTTTTGAAAAGTGTTGTAACTGTTGCTTCTCTATTTATTCCAATAAGAAGATTATAATAAATCTATTTTAAGCACGAGAGTAATTTATATCTATAAGAATTGCTAACAGTTTAAATAAATTTCTGGTAGGCTATCGCCATCGCGTGATTAATTCTCTCCAATAAAAAGTCATTCGAGATAGACATCAAAAGATGGTGTTTGGCGAGATTGACGGAATAGGTCCGATCAACCACACATTTTTATATGATTTTTGTTGCGTTCCATTATTTTGAATAGTATAATGGTATTTATTGTGTATGACAGTAGTTAGTGACAAAAAGGAGAATTGTATCGTTTACAGGTAATGGGTTGTTTTATTGGTTGTTTAAAATAATCAACCTAACCTAACCTAACCTAACTAAACGTTGCTTTCTTTTTTTAGAATCTCTGTGACCTTTGAAAGAATCTAATAAGGGCAGATCAATTTCAGGACATTACAAAAAACATTCGTCACTAGACAAAATTCACCGGGATACCCTTGTATCTATTTTTTTTTTTTATTTTGGAAGAGATTCAACACAATTGTATTTACCTACTTATCACCAAAAGATTAATTCCAAAATATAGTTATTTTACACATAAATTTGATATTTATTTCATTTAAATTGTTAGTACTGCTCCTATTCGATTAAAATCGACTCAAGCTTTAAACTAAGTGACATATTAATAAATCATTAAGCATTGCACTTCAAAATATAAAGAGAAAGGCTTGAAATAAAAGGAATGTATTTGAAAAACAAAAGGAAAACACTAATAAACAAATATATATTTCTTTAAATCAAATAGGCAGCATTTTTATTCTAAATCTGATATAGGTACCATTAACAATGACAATGATATAAATAAATGCCTTTATTGTCAAAAAAATTTACAATTTGTAGACAAAGGTAAAATAAACAAACAAAGTAAACAAACAAGGTACACAAACAAACAAACAAAAGATAATACAAAACATTATACAAATAATATTGCCAGTCTTATTGTTTAAAATAAACATTTATATAAATGTTTACAATGTCAAAGAATAAAAAAAATAAAATAATATTCAAAAATATTTAGTTAGTTTATAGTAAAAATATCAATGACCACTAAATAAATTTATTTCGGTGTCATTGGTAAATATAGCAATAGCAAACATTAGACCAGTGTTTACAAGATCAAATTCGATTATCAAAATATAATTCATTCACGGCGTAGAAAGCCTTGTCTAGTAAATAAGAGTTCAATGCTTTGCGAAATTAAGAAAATGATGTTATGGATTTGATTTCAAATGGCAGGTGATTGTGCATTTTTTTCGAGTTGTCTAATATTGAACTTTTAACTAACTCTGAGCGTGGGGTAGGTAGATAAAGATTTTGCTCCGCGTTCCTGAGTGTATAAGTGTGAGATGGCCTATCTTGAGAAGCTGATACATGCTTACGTATTAGGCAAACGGATTCAAATATAAATAAGGAAGGAAGAGTTAATATTTTTAATTTTTTAAAAAAGTACTGGCAATGAGTTCTGCTGTTTAGTCCCAGTGAATACCGAACAGCTCTCTTCTGGACCACTCTTCTGGACCCAAATTGAGTCGCACAACACGTACCCCAGAATGGAAGGGCATACCTGAGGTGCAACTCAAAAAGTGCATAATAAACAGTTCTAGCCACTGACAAGTTAAGCTCCTTAGAAACAGATCTTAACGCAAAACAGGCAGAGCTCTGTGGACTTGTTGCTTAGAAATCCAAACTGATGTTCAGTAAGTATTTTGTACTTAAACAGAAAAGATACAAGCCTTCTTTTAACCAACCTTTCTATGATCTTAGATAGCGTTGGAACGAGTGCAATTGGGCGATAGTTAAAAGCTTCATCTTTGTCTCCTCCTTTATGCAGAGGAATGATTATTGCCGTCTTAAGACATTTTGGAAAAATACCATTTTGGAATGACAGGTTTATTAAAGTTGTTAGGTGATTCAGAGTGTTTTCTGGCAGATTCGCAAACATTTTTAAAGTTAGCCCGTCGGTCCCAGAAGAGGATTTATTTTTGATGGTATTAATTGTACTGCGAAGCTCTTCGAAAACTACGGGCGAAAAAAAGAAACTGTGTAAGTTTACATTATCATTAGAGAGATATGAAAGTGGATCGTGAGAAGGACATACGGTATTAGTTAAGTTTTTCGCTACATTTACAAAGTAATCGTTAAGGTTCTCAGGTGAGGTAGAGATATTGCTAGATGAAGAAGCTTTGTTTCTCAATTCATTCACAATAGACCATGTTTCTTTAGCAACATTACCAGAATTGAGTATTCTCCTATTATAATAAAGGTCCTTAGCGGCTCTTATAGTCTTATGATAAATTTTTCTGTATAGTTCTGTATAGAAGAAGACACTGTCTGAGAATTTTTTTAAGTGAGATAATGAACGCATGTTTTTAGAAGATATGCGTAGATCTTTAGTGGTCCAAGGCTTATTATGCTTATTTTTGATAGGCCTAAGAGGAAAAGATTTGAACGCTAGACTGGTTAGTGTTTTTACAAAAATAGAAAATTCGGTGTCGACATCATAAGAGCGAGTATCCCAGTTGGTTGTTTTACATAAGTGGCTGAACTTTTGAGCATTCTTTTCTGAAAAAATACGGCATAATTTACGAGGGGCATTTTTAACTTTGGACGAAAATTCAGTTAAAACTGCTTCATGATCAGAGAGACCCGAGCTAAAGACGTTGCAAGCGATGGAGTTAGGATCAAAAGATGACACAACATAGTCTATGGTAATAGAACTGGTATTGGATATTCTTGTAGATGGGCCTACATGCATGGCTATTCCAAAAGAATCAAAAATGGACTGAAGAAAGTCCTGAGCAGCACATACACTAAGAAAGTCAATATTAAGATCACCACACAAAGTTAATTTGCTTGTTAAGGGCAGGGACTCAAGCAAGCTTAGTAGATTATGACAGAATAATTGCACGTTAGAGTCAGGTGTTCTATAAATACAAATAATGTAAAGGTCATTATGGTGGACAATGGAAAATTCGAATATTTTTTCAGATAGCAAATCATTGTACCTAGTTACCTCAGAAAAGTCGTTGTTTAAAGATATTATCATAGTACCTCCATGAGAAAAATTTGTTCTATTAAATCTGGCCACTGTGGTATAATTTGTGACAAACACAGGCTCATCAAAATTTAACCAGTGCTCAATTATGGCAATGATATCTGGAAATTCAAGTTCTTCTAGTAAAAGATATAATTCATCTGTTTTATGTCTTAAGGACTGAATATTAATAAGGAATAGACCAAGCTTGCTATCGCTTAATTTTTCAGAAGGTGCTTGATCCTCTGTTCGCGTCACTTCAACTAAAAAGTTTTACTCTTATTTGGGGAGCCACTGGAATAATATTTGCCATGACTTTCCCTAATCTTTTGAAGTCGTAGAAGGCTCTCCGCAGAAAAGAATGACCTGAAAGCTGAAAGATCTGCATCAACTTCAGTTGAACCAATACCATAGGCGTTGTGGAAGCGGTAGTACAACTTACGTAAGGAGTCCAGGTCACTAGGTAGCCCTTCTGATGCAAGCATCAATTTGATGCTGGTACTAGTGTGTCCTTCAAAACACACACTGGAAGGTTGGTCGTGAAGATAGGTAAGGAATAGCCTAAGAGGTTTCAAAATGGAGGGGTCCCTCAACCTGGCCAACACGTAACGTCCATTTACCGCATCTGAATCCTGAGACAGCCGTACTATAGGTGGAGTCATCATGTATGGTTTATATTATATATGAGTACATGCATAAAATCAATATAGATGTCTTATTAATTCAATTATGACCATTAATGAGGCCAAAATATGTTTGATTTTATTTGATTCATTAGCATTTTTTTTGATTTTACAACGTTTTTTCTCTCAGTGCGGAGAATTCAGCAAGCCTATAAAAGCAATACTCTGGTCTGGTGCTTATCGCCAAAATTTATTAAAATATTTGATCGACGGGTATTAAAGCTCGGACTTGTATCTACCTGGCCGCTTTTATTAAATATCTCGAACCACGTGGCCTTAAATGCCCAACACGCCACCCCACTCTTTCCACGTGGATTATCCCCGACAAGTGCGGACTGCCTCTTGACATCTCTCTTA